CCTTTACGTAGCCCCATTCCGTATGCGCCGAGTTGAAATCTCCCGCGACGACTATCGCGTTGTCCTTGCCGGCCATCTTGCATGCCGTTTCCATGATTTCCGCGAGGTCCTCGGTCTTGTAGCCCTTGTGTTGCGCGTACACGTTTAGCACGAATGTGCTCTTGCCTCCCTTGTTGCTAGGCACCACTTCCGTCAGAACGTTCTCTACTTCTTGCTTTGTTTCGTGATGTATGACCGTGATGTTCTTATTGACGAGCGTGGCGACCCTGGGCTTGTTCTTATCGTTGCCGTAAACGTAGTACCCACTCAGATTCGCTTCTTGCTCTGGGTCACATTTTGGCGGCACAAGCTCTCGTGCATTAGAGGCAGCTGCAAACGCTATGAACACGCGCTTCTAGCCTTCGCTGCGGTGCAACATAAGGTGAAACTAGGGTGCCTTCATGTGCGCTTTGCTTAGGGTGGTGGCATCTCGCCATTTTGTCACACACGTTTATTTTTATTTTTTGTTCAGAAGCGCGTGACAGAGCGTGTCCCTGCACGCGCTTGTGGCGCTGACTGTGCTATGGCGACGTTTTGTTTTCGTCAATTTCTTTGTATTTTTCCCGTGAGCGCGTGCTGTCGGCATGTGGTACTACAAAGGGTGGCATCACCCTAAACAGAAGGACATTGAGGCACCCTAGGTGAAACAGAGTATAGCGAGCTGCAGGTTGGCTATCCCTGCTGTTAGCGGCGTGCGCGATCAAAAGCGTCACTGTGGACGACCTGCTACGATTAGCCGAATGCTGACTATGACGTCAGGAAAGGATTTCTCATAGCCGGAAATAAGAGGAATGTAAGAACTCCAATTTTGGCGGTGTTAGTAGTGTTGCTTTGAGAGCGCAATGATTTCAAGCTGCCACCATGCTAATTATAAACGCCATCGAACGTGTTGTTCGCGAGGTAATGACGTCACGAGAGGGAACCATAGGGGAGTCCCACCGTGGGGGAGTCCAACCAAAACAACTCGCCGCTAACAAACAATTGCAAGCAAGGACGCCGCCATGTCTCTGCCCGTGTGGAGAAGCACGGGCAATTTCAAGATTGCCATGGCCATGCTCACGGGCAAGACGCACGTGCTTGCACTCATAAAGCACCAGTCAGTTCGCCATGCTTGTAATTGACCCCGTAAGTGATGACGTCACAACATGACGCTCCGCTCCAGAAAAACGTTGCTGGCCGCTGTAATTCACAAATGCATGGGGGATTGACTTAAGGTTAGAAACTGTGTGATAAAAGAGTAAATATTTTTTGAAAGCATTGTGCCTTCTCAATATCTTATCATGAACACTTTTTCTATCGCCTCAGTGCCATAAAGCGATAACAAAGGCCCGCAATCAAGTTTCACAACCGGTTTGGCCTTTCTAGCAGACAACACATGGCTTCTCGTGTTCAGTGTCTCTTTTTTGGCGGAGTACGCGACCGCGCTACTCCGTCAAAGGTCGGTGACAATCGACGAAACTTCTATTCTCGGGGTCAACTTTCTGCGGGATATCGAAAGCCAAGAGTCTCCATGCGCAGCTTTGATCGACGTTCGAGGTACGCGAGCGCGCGGACGCCTTCCTGTGGAGCTCGCTTTCGCAATTTTTGAGAAGGTACGTGAATACACTGTGAAGCCGAATCGCGTATCACGACGACGTGAAGTGTATCAAGGTCAAAGTGCAGATCAGCACACGTTTCAAGGAGTGCTGACAGCACAGTTGCTTCAGTGCACATCTGTGTGATCAAACGAACTGTGCGAACAGATAAATTGTCGCAGATGGAACCGGACCGACAAGCGTAGAGCCAAAAATAAAGATTTAATCGTTGATCTTGTGCCTAGAAACAAAAGAAATGATGAGCGTCAACGGGGGTAGCAGCGCGACGATGCGTCGGCGTTACAGCTGGCTCTGGGTCGACAAAGTCGCGCTCAGCTCTTCATCTACTATTCTTTGCATCTCAAAAATTCGGTCTCGACAATGTTCGTTAGTGAGCAAGGGCGAGACTGGCAAGGTCACTTTTGACATCCTTATCTTTTACACTCGGTGTAAGAGTAAACTCAGATCTTTTAGAGGCACGGAGAAGCGCTGCTTCTCAGACTACTACTCTTGGGGTCTTGCTTAAAACTGAGGAATCAGTAGGATTTTTTCTCAGTGTGATGGTTTCAAAGCAGGCACGAAACACTCATATTGCGAGCCTGAAAAAACAAAATTTGGGGTCTCGAACCGTTCATGTTAGAGTCAAAATAATTGCTCCTTCGTTACAACGCACGCCAACTGCAAAATCGGAAAGATGGCCTGACGCTGCTTTGGTAACATGTCCTAAACAGATGCTTTTCTCGCTGTATTTTTAGCAGATCTCTATGCGTGCGATTATTTTCGTCAGTCGATCATTATCCCGTATCGCACGGAAATAAAATTCGTTTTTATGAATCTGATTAGCTTTCTTAGGCCTGCCATATTCTAAATAAATACAAAACCAAAATTGTAACATTGTGCAAACGATTAAAACTATTGCAGACGGAATATTTCAGTCATTACGTTTGCGTTCGTCATGCGTTCGTCGTCGGCAACAAGCACTTCGAGGCGTCTCGAGGACCCAAGTTATCGTCGGAAATATTTTAGAAACAGCCAATTCTCGACAAACCTCTGTGTCGTGATAATTGCGAAATCGCTAGGCTTCCTTTATCCTATTTATCCTACCCTATATAACGATCGGTCCTATTCTTGACCGATCGTTCTTTCGGACCAAAATCCAGTCCCACGAATTCTTCCATTACAACGCCCCTAGCAACAATTTGTGTGGAACGGTGACGTCTCACTTACGGGGTCAATTGTCTATACAATCAATGGACTTCTTCCAAAACCGACGCGCCCCATCGCGGCGAAATACCACGCAGTGCACTCTGGGAACTAGTTGGCCGCTCAGTTTCGGTTTCGACTGAGCAGCTTCATCTCATGCTATCATGCCGCGACCGAACGCTCTGCTTGCGTTTTCGATTATCTGACTTTTCACGAACGTACAATACACTAATTCTCGAGCGATACAAAACGAAGACCGGGGCACTTTTCTTGGTCCCCGAAACACTAGATATTATGAGTGTGTATGCAAACGTAGCTTAGTCACCTCACCCCCCACGAGTGCATCTTTGAGTTCAATTTCAATAATCCCGTCTGGTACCAGTGAACTAGAACTGAAATTTGTTAATCTGGAGCCTTTCACCTATTTTGTTTGCCAAACGTCCGCTTCTTGTTACTTCATCGGGCAAAAAGCAAGCCGCATTCTCACAGGAGTATCAAAGTTGAACCCAGCGTTGACGCATGAACTTTTAAGGAAACGCAATAAATTCGACCTCACTACTGCACAAAAGTTACTATGATGTCTTCCTCGTGTCATCACATATTTCACACTCAAATTTTATGCTGATAGAAGATTAAGTTTTCGCAAACGCTGAGATCGGCTAGCTACGACGGAGGCCCTAACAAGCGTCCCCTACTCCTCGCTAAGCCTTTTTGGACGAGCTTTAACTGACGCCCAAGATCTGTGCCTGAACGGTGTGTCTGAAATTATCTTGACGTACTCAGGCGGGAAGAAAGCAAACACATAGCAAATATTATGGCCATTAGCAACCGTCAAACGCGCTTTGAATAATTTCGTTCGTTTGGCGCACCGCATAGGGGTTCATGCCCGTCCGGCGCACTCCCGGCGAACGGTGCGACATTCTTCACGCAAGTGCTCGACTTTTGCTTTCTAAAACCGGTCTGTTTGTGCGAATGTGCCTATATGATTTCAGGATAACCTTATGCGCATACGCCATGTTGAACATTAGTGGAATGCAAGCGGGTGGGGACCTCACTTCGTGCAGTGCTGCGGGTCAGTACAGATAAGAGATAAGAAGTGTGCTAAAATTGAGCTTTTCAATGGCGCCTCCGAGTTTTACCTCGCGTACTCAGGCGTATTACAAAAAACAGTAATTGCAAAAAGTGATATTTCGTCTATGGACGCACGAAACAAACAAACTTCCTGACCAACAACACTAATGTAAAGGCGCGAGCTCGATGTAGGCATACTTATTGGTTGCTACAGCTTGTTAATTCGTACACAAGCAAGATCCCCGAGCTTCGCAGCGTCGAAATTCCCAGCACTGGCTCGTCCACATACCTCGATTGGAACGCTAAGAGAAAGGCTCAACTACAAAAATACAACAAGCATGAGCTAAGACAAGCTATACGTCTCGGGCTTGTCTAAAGCTTCGAGGTCTGGCCATTTAGATTAGTTTAGAGACCCCAAATGACGCTTTCGGGACCAGAAAACATGAGCTAACGGCCGTTAATAGTCCACGCTCTGTGTATAATCTCTTGTCGACGTGTCGATCGAAACCGAAACCATGCCACCCTCCTCCCTGGCTGGTCAACTAGTTCCCAGAGTGCAACGCGCGCCGTGTTGCATGTAGGACTTTATGGAAGTAGTCTATTGACGAGTCGTAATTGTTGAGCCCCCTTTAGGAAGAACGGCGATCCAAGGAATCTTTAGGTACGGACAACAAAATTTGACTGAAACAATTTATCTTCCGTATGTTGCCTCTTTCAACCAATTCTAAATTTGAAAAAAAAAAAAATAAACATTATACAAGTTTCATTATGCTGATGAGCATCGGGGTGCACCGAATGCGTCGAGCGCGAACGATGACATCACATAACGTTCATTTCACCTTCTAAATTTATCGGGAAATTTTAATTCTGTCACGTGAGGTGACATGACGACAACACTGTGTTGTCGAGTTCCCCCCTAAGCGTAGACGCGAAATGTACGTCACACCATCGTCGCCGGGTCACGTGACTCCACGACATTGCGTAACCTTCCCTTTCCCCGCCAAACATAGCGGGGAAGCGAAGTTCAATCTGCCGCTTGAACTCTGCACGTGAGGGTTGCATCTGATAAAACACATTTATAGGTTTAGAAGAAACAAGACCAAAGGCACTCACTCTATGTCCTGAATAATGTCTTTTCGGCCGTACTTCCTGCGGACCGTAGCCAGCTTGTCGTCGGATGTTTCCGGGGTGCCTGCTTCGGCGACGGCGCGGTACGAGCCCACGATGCACAGCACGCACAGGAAGCATGCCGCCAACCGGCCCGACCAACTCCGAACGCCGAAAGCCATCTATGATCCACTCCGATTCGATTCCTCGACAAAACGCGGACCACAGCACACACACACACGCACGCCCTTATCTTGCGAATTTGGGGTTCCTGGGGCGAGGTGGTCGCGGGAAAGTATATACGTTTTACACTCCTGGCACGCCACGACGTTAGGTTCCTCTATCTGCAGCTGGCCACGTCAGTCGAGACAGATAAGACTGTAAGGGAGAGATCCGCAGACGATAACCAGACGAGAATCGGTCTTTCCGCGAAAAAACAAGCAAAAAAAGAACGCAAAAAGATGTCGCAGATGTTGGGCGCGACACACTGCGAGAGTTAAAAACGGACGAGCCTTGACTGTGCTTAGACAAAGCCACGTTGACGATGAATTGAGTTCTCTAGATTGTTATTTCGATATAACCACATTATTCGCTCCACCTACCCTCCCACACTCGGGAATACGCGCAGATCTATACTGTTTTTGCGTTATCTATCTATTTCATTTTTTTTTCGCGACGCACCTGGAGCATATCCTTGGTTGAGTTACAACTCTGCACGTGACACAGCTGCGAGCTCCGGATATACGAGTCAAGCGTGCCTTATTTTCTTTCTCTCTCTCTAAATATGTTTTTGTCGCTTTATTATTATCATGTTTCTGGCGTCGCGCAGCTTTATTCTATCAACAAATATATATATATATGTAAGTCAGAGATCCGTACTTGCGGAGTTGCTATGCTAGGAGTTTATTGCATGTATTTCGAGAGTTTCGCCGAGAGGCTCAGCTTCATCAGGAGATGGTATGCCATCTCCTGACGAAGCCGAGCCTCTCGGCGAAACTGTCGAAATACATGCAATAAACTCCTAGCATAGCAACTCCGCAAGTACGGATCTCTGACTTATTACATTTTCCCGGTCCATTGTTCTCAAGCTACTCTGCCTCACCTATATATATATATATATATATATATATATATATATATATATATATATTGTCACAAATTCAGGCTTTTCTTGATTTTGTTTTTCATTTTTATTATTATTTTTTTTTTTCTCGGACCACTTTAAGTGTCGGTACGGTCCGGGAACGGGGAGTGCCGTGCCGCTTTTAATCTCCAGTTCGTCCCGTCGTATTATCCTTTCTACGTCCCCAACGGGTTTGCTCGTTTTCGGGGTAGGTATTTGTGGACGGGCGACTCAGATTAGGCTTCACCCCGGGGCAAAGTTAATTTGTGTCTTGGCCTTCGCGGACGGAGGGGTGCGTTTGCGGACTCTGGTGCCGATTTGAGACGCGAAGGCGACGCCGGGATACAAAGATGTCTAAGCTGGCTGGCGCGCCTTTTGAAGGCGGCGACTTTCTTCAGTCTGGCGCCTGTCGTTGTTGTCGGGTTCTACGTATCGACGTTAATTGATGTTTTGGACTCGTACGGGGGAAATGGATGGCCTGTATGTTTTCCCTTTTGGGTCGGCGCCGGATACCTTTGCTTTTCTGGGAAGTGGACTGACCCGAAAGGCGGGAAAACGGGAGGTTGGTCGGTAGTCGAACCTATAAAAAGGGGTTCTGGAACAAAGGAGGTAGTCGAGCCCCGGAGCTGGCCGGGGTGCTGCTCGACGCAGTCACTCCCTGCACGTGAGTTTTTGAACGTTTAATTTTTTTGGCTTCTGCCCTGCCTGTCGGGCAAGTGTTTGAGTTGGTTGTGCTGAAGCGTGCGTGGCTGTGTGGTGCGCGGTGTCGACCTCATCAAGCTTCTAACCGGACCGCCTGACTCCGAGACATCGTTCTTCGGCCGACATCTCCAGACAACGGACTGCTCTGGACTCAGCACCTACCGGAAAGCTAAGCTGTTTTTTGTTTGTTTTGTCTACTTCATCCTCCGGCTCTGAAGTACGAACTGTTGAACTTTGGGACGTTTTTATACGCAGCGCTACTTTCTGTCGCGACTGTTTTGGGGGATTGTCCCTTTTGGGTAGCGGTAACGTTCGAGTTCCGTCTCGGTTTGCCCTTGTTTTTGGTTAGTGTTGGGATTTCGTCGCGGTTTTGTCGGCTCGATCCTGTTTTACGAGTGTCGTGACTTTTGTTAGTATTAGTTTCTGGCCCGCGGGACCCCATTGCGTTTAACTGGAGCGAGGTTTGTGTAGAGTGCTCTTTTGCCGTCCGCGGCGTAGTATTTCACTTTATTAAATTTTTAATCTTTTGTTTGCTTATCCTCCCTGTGTCATCGTCTCTCTTTCCTGATTTTACACCTGGCGTGGACCTAGCGCTAGTCACCGGTCGAACTTAGCTCTTTTGTTCTTTTTCCGTAATTTCTCGTTTATCCTCAGAGTGGATCATTGCTTTATTTTTATTAATTTAACCACCCACTCCGTGACATATATATATATATATATATATATCCTAGCCAGTTTTCTGGTATGGTTCGCAGAGTACCACAATAAGAAAAAGCCCGTTAGACATGTCTACCTTTCAAGACCCATTGCAAGTCACTGGTTCATCTTGATTACGAAGTCTTTATCAGTGACTGGAAAAACGCGAAACTAAAATGCGTCAAAAGAGTGGAAAATAAATTAGGCGTTTATTTTACAGAGGTTACCGCAACTGAGTCAGCTCTCTTTATGGTATGTACAGGGCGTTCCCGAAAGAAGAAAAACATTAGAGGTTTTTTTTTTTTCTTTTTTTTTTTTTCATTGCAAAAATAATTTATGCATCGCTGAACGATAATGTTCCTCCCAAAGGTGGAGCTAGAGGTCTGATCCAGATGCAAAAATTTTACGAGGAATTGATATTTTATTCAAAAGATAAAAGTGACTTTCTGAAAATTTCAATGGGAAAATGGGGCCCATTTACGCCCGCTTTCGGTATCTGGCGGCCACCATTTTCCTATTGAAATTTCCAGAAAATTGCTTATAAATTTTGAATAAAATATCGGTTCGTGCTGAAACTTCGGCATTTGGTTCGGACCTCTAGCGCTACCTTTGGGCGGAAAATAATCGCTCGGTGATGCACAAATTATTTTTGCGGTGAAAAAAAAAAAAAAAATCCCTGTAAATAGTTTTCGGGGACACCCTACTTACATCACGTCCCAGTGATTACACGAATGCATGAAGGTACGATGCTCACATCCATCAAAACACACCTTACTGCAAATCCCAGTTCTGTTCTCTAAGGATATCTCTGTTATAGGGCGCGGGCGGGTACATGAAGTTGGTGTTGGTAAAGGTGTATCCACACGACGGACCGGGCCGCGGACCGATTGATCACGTGATGCGCGGCCCGCGGGCCGCCCGGCTGCAATGAGCATCCACACGGCGGACCAAAAGAGCAGACGACAGAGCGAACGAGCCGGTCTAACCCTCGACCTCACAACTCCGCCAAACGCATGCAGCGAGCTGCTTTGAGGCTATTTGTAAGGAGCCAAGATGAAGGTTGAACGAAAGAGACGTTTAGCTGCGGTGGTCCTGGCGTTGACTACTGAGGACGAGGAGGACTTAAGTGAACCGAAAAAGCCATGGGGACATCTTTAGATGATTATTTGAGTAGTCGTCGCGACTATTGTCCCACAGAGCGGGGAATTGCTCCATGAGTGCGATGAAGTAAAAAGTTGCATCGTCGCACAACAAAAGGTTCGTCTTCTTCGTCTTCAACAGTTGGCGCCAAAAGAAAACGACTTTGTCTTTGGATTCCAATCCAAACAACAAAAGTAAGCTTGTTGCCAGACTTAGCGCTTCAATTATACTAAAAACGCCGCGGTCCGCCGCCAAGGTACGGGCGAGAAAGTCGCTTGGCATTTCTCAGAAGCGCGGGCCGCGGACCGCCGGGGGACCTCAAAGAACGGTGACGAAAGATCACGTGATGCGCGGCCCGCGGACCAAAACAGCAATTTGGTCCGTCGTGTGGATACACCTTAAGACGGCAACGATACGCGTCGAATTTACTGCTGAAGGCGAGCTTCGACAGTTCTTTCGTAACGTGCATTCCACGCCATCAAGATTGACGGTCTTATCAGCTTATAGATGTGAGCTTGTTCTGAGCATGCGCAGCGAACATCGCATCCAAATATGGCGTCCAGTGGCTACTCCACTGATCTCTATGCTACTCCCTACCGGCGACGAGATGTTTCGCTGGCTCCCCCTTAAGGCCTGTTCACACATGCAGCGGAGCGCTACAAGCATAGCGCTGACCTCGCGCTAAGCACGTGCCGACGGGAGCGTCCACCAGCTCTGTATCGCACCGTCAAAACTGTTGCTCATGGCAGACGATAAATATCTGACGGGACGTGAGCAGCGCTACATCAGCGCTTCGCTGCATGTGAGAACCGGCCTTTATACTTCCCATCTGTTACGTCTCGATCAGGATTATTGATTTCCAGTCACAATTTTCACGGTGTGAGACAAAGTGTTTCCGTTTTGCGTGCAAGTTCGTGTCATTTGTGCGTACTGCAATCTGAGAAGCAACTGGCCATATGAGTATGTCTGTCACTCAGTAGCTTCGCTCACAGAGCTTCTACTCTACAGTGTGCTTCCAACTGCTATACCGGCGAAAATACAATTCATATAAATAAGCCAATAAATTGAGTGCGATAAAACTTTTCAAAAAGGTGTCTTTAGGTGGTGAATTTATCATACTTCAATTTCACGACTGAAGATTCGAGTGAAACAAGTCCTGTTATTCCTCTGCCACCGAGAGCAAAACGGTAACAAGCCGTCTGTTTGACGCTGCTGCTCACAGATGGCGCAACGTGAAAGGGAAGCGTGAACGATAGTTTGAGATGAACACCTGAAAGCATATAAGCAGATCCGAACGTGTGGGATGCCATATGTGAGCAGCAGCATCGTTAACGTGCGTCCCACCTTAAAACCATGCGGATGCGTTTGCAACGGCCGTTGGATGGTTGCAGCCGTCAGGCAACCAGAGGTACTAATTCGGGGCGAGATGTTTGGGGGATCGCCGCCTGGTGAAATTTTTTTCACAACACTGAGTGGGGATACTTCAACTTCCTCTGCTGGTTCAAGCACGTGCAAAGCCAAGCATCTATGTACCACTATGAAAATTACAACATAACCGCGTAGGTAGCCCTTGCACTACCCATAGTGAGGAAACCGGAGGTTCCCGTAGCGAGTTTCTCACCGTGAACTGATTTGAGGTGATTTTAAAGTGATCCTTTCGTGCTCGCTCTTTTAAGCGCTGCAGCAAATGCAGGCTCGCGCTTGCACGCGCCTAGATCTGCAGAGGAAAAGGCGCTCCAAAACAAATCCATATCACCAGGGACTCAGCGATTACAAATTTCTAACACCAGCATTTTCACTCGTTCCATTCCCAAGACACTCGTGCATCTGTTTTTTTTTTAGTAAGGTGCCATCTCATTAATAGATACCGAAAGCAAAAATTGTTGTGTGTATGTTTGTACAGCCGAAAGTTAGTCTGCCTCAGTGGGCGTCTGGTGTCTCAGCTGTAGATGAGCATTTAGCCAGTGCGGTACAACCGCTAGCCTGGGGTCTTTAACGTGCACGCAGTAGTGATACACGACCGCCACGCCGGTACGATGCTCATCCAGATCGAAAAGGGCAGGGGTGGGGCTCGAACCCAGGATCCCTGGGTTCTGCAGCGCGAGCTTTTGCTCCAAGTGCTCCGATCTGGTGTGCGCTAGACCCCTCGGCCGAATCTTGTTCTGCCGCTCTACCTTTTCACTTTCGGCAGCCGCGTCACGTGACGATCTTCCAGGCTTTGTCATTATTTTCCACCGCGTGCACCTCACAGCCTAATAAAGGTAAATATGTTCTTGCCAAGAGGGCAGAGAAGTCAACAATGCGTTTCTCATTAAACTTGTTGAGACTAAAGAAGGTAGTGGGTGAGGCGGGTAGCCGCTACAACAACACGCTTATTGTACGCAGCGCTCCCTGCGATTTCATCCAAGGCGCTGCCCTCTCGCTGCGTGGAAAGAGGCGTTCGAACAGGAAATTGACCAGTCTCCCGCGACAGTTCGCAGTTTCGTCTCTGGGTAGTACACGTGCTACCCACGCGTTTTTTTTTAATTTTCGTAGGGCATAGAAGCTTGGCATTGCATGTGCGTGCGTCAGTAGAGAAAGTTAAAGTATTCTCACTCTGGGTTGTGAAACCTTTTCCACCAAGTGGCGATACCCAAATTTCTCGCCGTTAATTCCATAGAGGTATGGTCCCAACGGCTTGGATTGACTCGAGTGTTAGCTCCCGAAGTCGCTTCAAATCATTTTCGTTCTTTCGCTCATTTTTTTAACGCGATGGGGTTAAGAAAGTTGTTTCGCAGTAAAGCTGGCGTCGGTGTTGGTCGGTGGCGTTTTGACGGGAAAATCCTGATTGGTCAATAGGGTCATGACGTCACAGCCTCATGACCTTGCGCGGGAATTTCAAAGAACCTACAACGCTCACGTGAAACGTGACGTCACGAGTGGAATGGAAGTGATTACAACGTGACTTGTAATGGGATTTAAAGGTCGCCACAAGTCTCAAATGATTTCACTTCGTAAGGTGATCCATTTGCCATAAAGAAAAAAGATTGAATAATTCTAAGCAGGATTTGAACCCACGACCCTTCGGTTGCGAGCCAGACACGCTACTCACTAGGCCACGCAGAGACGTTATTTCCTCACTGACCTCCACTTTCCTCCGGAGGTGACGACAGCGGATACAGTCTGGCGCCCGCTCGCCCGGCCGTTCGGAGCTCGGGCGGAAAAAGCGCCGAAAAGTTGCCGGTGCTCGCCAGAGAATCACCACCCGAACGGTGCGCGCCTGCCGTAACCACGCAGACACTATTGCCCGTTTTCCGGCAAACTAAGTTGCCGACGACTGACTACCCGAATTCGCCATAAGTTCCTGGCTTCCAAGACATGCTCCCTTTCCTCAGGAAACCCTATGAGAAGGCGATTTGTTACTCTTGTATCTAAACAATAAGTATGGAAACAAACGACCGGTGGTAAAACTCACGGTCATTCACGAACAAATTGTGGAACTGATATCTCGATGACTGGAATAAGGAGTGTCCTAAGCGTAAAAGAATAAAATGTAAACGAATAAAATTTTTAGGGTATCGTTTAATTTCCGTGCGCATAAAAATAGTGAAGTATAGGGAAATTACTTTTTCAAACATTGTTATTATTAAGCTTTTTACAAAAAAAAAAAGAAAAGGATAAGCGATTCCTACGTACTTAATATAAAAAAGCAAATCACAAATCAAAATCTTACGTATATACACTGTGCGGTACCGGATCTATCACAGACTTTCAAGCATAAGCGTATATACACATTGAGATCGACTTGGTTGCGCAGTCTGTGTGTGTGTTCGTCCAAAGGTGTACGCTGCAAAGCTGCGGGCTCTGAAGCGCGCACTATTCAATGCGTCATCAAAAAAAGAAAAGAGAAAAAATGGAGTCGGTGACGAATGTCGTTTCATGTTCGGCGTGCACTTTCGATGGCGCTTTCACTGCTCTCGGTGAGGATGAGGCGTTGCCTCGCGGGCCTCATATCGTTCCTTGGAGTCTTCCTGCTTCGGGAGCTGCGTCTGCGGACTCCTGGCGCTCCTCACGTACGAGATCCACTCCGGGTACGAGACGTACCCGTCCGAGTTCACGTCCACCGACAGCAGGCTATCCACCATGCCTGTAAAACAAAGTGACTTAGACCGCCGTTGACGCCATTCAATCACCGAGTGCTAGGACGTTCGGAGGCCGAGTGTGTTAGCGCGTCTTAGCTCGGAGAACGTAAACCCAAACCTCGCGCTACGGTACATATGAATCCTGGGTTCACTCCCCGCGCGTTTCCGTTTCGGCCTGGATGAGCATCGTACCGGCGTGCGGTCGTGTATTGTTACTGCGTGATGCAGCTTAAAAAGACCTGAGGCTAGAACTCGTACTGCACCCGCTAAAATATCTTATCTACAGCGGAGACGTCACTCCAACTCCTCCCTGTCTAAACACAGACACAATGCAATTAATTTTATCGTTGCCACCATCCCCTAAAAATGTATTTGTAAATGCCTCTACGCGCTTATCACCCGGGATAAAACTGTATATACCGGGATGAAACTGAATGTAAAACTTAAAATGAATATTCCGCGCCAGAAAGTCAGTGCGCATGTTCAGAACGTGTTTCAGAGGCCAGTAGACGAAAATGTGCAGAAAGCGATTATTGGAGAGGTCTACCCACTCTAATAGTTATCTCTTGCTCGCTGCCATTTTTTCTGCTAGGCCGTAGGGCATGTTCTCGTGTGTTGTGCGTATATTCGAATCTATAATAGTAGTCTCGAATAATACGCTATTCGATATTCACCTCGAGATTAACCACGATATTCGTACCTTTGGAAATGTTGATCGCGGCGAGTTAGCATCGTTGAGTGCGCTCCTCACCGAGCACTATTGCGCTGCGTGGAAGCAATACCCGCAGAGCTCACGGGCTCCGCGGGTGTTGCTTCTCCGCAGTGCACAAGTGCTCGGAGAGAAGCGCATTAAATTGGGCTTACGCGCCGCTATTATGCGATAGTAATATGCCCCATTCAACACGACAGCGTAAAGGTCCCTTTAACTAAGGGAGGGCCTGTGTTAAAGGGAACTTGCCAACCTCCCTTTACAGCTACTGGGAGTAGGCTGAGGCCCATTAACCTGAAATAAAAATGACAGATATATAAGTTTCTGGTGTCTAATGCGATAAAAGAAATTTAATATTTCTAAGTAGTAATTACTGTATTAATTCTGAACACAAACGTTAGGAAATACGCTGGCAAGAAACGTATATTCACGATTGCAGGTTCAATCATCACGTGCATCAATGAACGTGTCTATTTCAAAATTACGCCCACTTAAACAGCACGAGGGATTACGAAAAGAACACCATAGAGCTCGAAAGTCTATATGTTAGCTTACTGACTTCCAAGCACTGGCATCAGGATCTACAAGTGCATGTTTGGCGATGTTGGAGGTTTATTTTCAACAGGGCTGGTCAGAGATAGTTCAAAATATATTCGGGAATACAAATACCGAGATACATGCCTTTTTAAGGCCCAAAATACAGATACTACGATACATTTGTCTTATATGCAACGAGATATCCCTAAGATACTCCTGAAAAAACGCCGAAAGAGTATTCCGGAATACAGATACACACAGAAATACATTTGTTCTTGAACGGTGCTACGTGGGGAGGGCGTAGTCCGTGGCGAATGCAACTGGCAATTTATGTTTGTGCTCCTCTTTTTGTGTCATTTTATGTACTTCCCCTTATCTCGAACTAGTGCCGCTAAAGAAACACGTCACGCCCGGTGGACCACATCGTTGCTGAACGGTAAAGCCCGAATATGGTGAACATCGTACACAAAACGACAAGGACAAACGAGGAAAGAACACAGAACGCAGACAGGCGCGTTTTCGTTCAACGTTTACCAACTCTCCCTACTTACCAGTTTACAGCGGTAAAGACAGCGTGCCATGCTTGACAAAATGCGTTTGCACGAAATGAACTCTGTTTTGCCGTGACGGCGCATCTTGAACTGTTGTCTTATATGCTTATGAGTCACCCATAGTGTGAGGAGATTCGACAACAGGGCTGTATACTTTTTCTAGTCTCAACTCCTTTAAAACGTTCTCTATTATAAGTTGAAAAGTGGCGGCGGAGAAAAGCTCACCGGAGAAAAGCTCACCGGAGAAAAGCTCGCCGGAGATAAGCTCACCGGAAAAAAGCTCACCGCAAAACCGGCAGATGCGGAGAAAAGCTCACCGGCCTTTGAGCGGATAAGGAAGAAAGCTCAACGATTTTTTTTTTTTTTAATTCAGCGGATTCTGCGTTAAACGTGCCAATTTAGCACAATTCGCATTCGTCGAGTCATTAAAATATGTCCTCTTTTTTGTAATGTTCTTGAAGTCCATTGGGAATATTTACTAATTCCTCGGGAATTAGTAAGCACCCCTTCTGTTTATTAATGAAGCCGTAAGTATGAAATCAGAACTTCGTAGACCGGTAAAACACGCAACATTTTATTGACAGCTGACGGCTACGCTGTTTTCTTCCTGTTAATTTCACTAACAAACCTTTAGTTGCGAGAACAGCTCCGTCATGTCGTGTTTGTGGTCTTCACTCCGTAGTCGTCGTTTGAGCGGTTTTCATCATGTGTAACGTTCACCAACTCGCCCTATTCGCTACCTTACAGAAGACTACTTCTTATATAGGTCACGAGTAACAATGGTGCCAGTGTGCAGCTCAGAAAATTATGCGTGGCTCACCGTAGAAAGGCACTATCACAAAAAGGAGACGTGTCGAAACACCAGCACGAACGGCTAGAAAACGTGCATGTGCGTGAAAGAAAGGAGCCTCGATATATTGCTGACTGTTTTATCCTGTTTTCAAAGGTTAACGAAAGCTTCGAAGAGAATTTCAGGCACCGCGATGTTGCGCATGCACTTTCGGATTTTCGGCATTTACAGTTTTGATTTTTAGGTTTTAGGCAGACATTATTAAGTTTTCGAACTTGTTCCTGTTCTTCAAGTTTATAAAATTTTCAGTTAGGCTTTTTTTTGCTTAGAGAATAAACCACAGAAAACACTCGCCCGCAATTATTGATCTGGGAGCAATATACCCAATAAGCTTAACAAATATTACAAAAAGAACATTTTATTTTTTACAAAGCTGGCGAATTTTAATGATAATAAATTGATATATGTTACGCATGGTCCAACAGCCTCCATATAAAAAAAGGAAGAAAAATCGGTGAGTTTTTCTCCGCATACGCTCAATGGCCGGTGAGCTTTTCTCCGCATCCGCCGGTTTTGCGGTGAGCTTTTCTCCGGTGAGCTTATCTCCGGTGAGCTTTTCTCCGGGATTCGTTGAAAAGAGTGGAGGGCTTTCATGAAACTCACCTTCTTTAAACCACAGGTTTTCCTCCATGGTTGTTATTGCGATGGATTTTGATATAGGGTGGGTTCATCTTATAAATTATGAAGGAAATTTCTCCAAATTCACATTTTTATCTTTTATATTTATCGTAAAAACGGCAACAAATGTAACAACTTGATACATAGGTCTGGCAAAGTATTGCGATACAAGCGATACATTATAAATATATTTGACTGCTGATACAAATACTTTTTCAAACGTATTTCGATACAGAGATACAGACACTCGAAAGCGCCTCTAAGATACTATCGCGATACATTTGTATCGCGATACTGCCCAGCCCTGATTTTCAGAAGTCTCGAAGGAAAGCCCCTCGTTTTAGAGTTAGCTTGTACGATGCCTGCCTTCAGTGGTTTCATGGATAACGAAGCAAAACAACAGCAACTACAACGAATTAGGTAAGGCCCTTGAAAGCAATATATTTTAGCAGTTCGATGTGTTTATTGAGATGCACTGCCTGGAATCTCGGCCCCGTCATGGCGGCCGCAATGAACACCTCCTAGAAGCTAAGGCCGTAGCTCTCCGAGTCGTGACGTCAGATTGGCCCGGAGAAGGGAGGCCAAGTCGAGAGAAGGTGCCCACTTTGGTGCTCTTTACTCCGGCCGCGTCGTCTGCTCACCCAGGTCGCGTGACTTGTTCGTGCGCATTTATTCGGCATTAATATACGTTTTAAATGCGCAGTCTTGTATAATTTATTGTATATATAAGCGTAATACCACGCGTTGCCAAGGTTGAAAGCACTCAATTTATATTTATGATTATCCCCTAACCGAGGGTCCACAATGCAGTCACGCAGCTCCCCACTCTTTTCGAATAAACCTGCTCCGGCGGAGACATTTTCTTCCCTCATACGGGTCTCGATTCTGATAAATTTGCGTTGTGCGTGAGCTTCTGAATGTCTGCAAAGGAACGCCGATACTTTTTCACAAAAAGATGTGAAGTGAAGAAAAAAAAATTCAGTCACCGCCGCAGGGAGCGCACACGAGTAAGAGATGGGTCGACGAAGTTAAGCCTTTCGTCCCACGCTTCTGCCGCTGTTCTTGTGTGTGGTTCTTTTGTGTTCTCTTGACACTACAACATTTACGTGGATTAGTGGTCCTGTTACAGTGTGAGTGACATGTGTGGCCAGTAGTCAACGATGGCACTGGTCGATTATGGATCGACCTCTCTTCCTCAACAGGGAGAAAAAGTTCTTGGAGTTCCTGTTAAAAGTTTTTCGTGGCGGATATTACGGGGCGCTTATACGGTCGAAAGGCGAGAAATAACTTATTTACGGGCTTTGCTGTTCATGTATAGGACGCGAGTAGGGTGCTTCAGTCGTTGCTTTAATCTCATGATAGAATGGAACCTCGTTCTCCGTCGTCATTCGTGTGCAATTGCGTCGACATCTGTAAATATGCGTGGTTACATTCAGGTTTTCCCCGGAAGGTGAATAACAATCTTATGTGCTATTATTGAAAGTGCATGATTTGGGCTAATGTATTTATTTATACTAATGTTATTTTATTGCCTCCTACGGCGTTCCTACTAAAATCCCAACTGTATTAAAGAAATAGCATTATTGTGTAAAAATAAATTATATTTTGTTCTAAGACAGCTGGAGCCGATAGAAAGAAGTGGATTAGTTGATAGTTAATAGTAAGTTTAGTATCGCTTCCACACGAAAACGTTAATATCTTTTCATTAAATTATATTTTAATATTGAACCAGCTCACCATCCTGAGCGACTATACGAGCGTCACTAGCTGATTTGCCAACCCCATAATGTAATTCGATGGAAATTACATTACTTTTGCACGTTGCTGGGGTATAACGTAAAAACTCAGTGATTGCATGCGTTAAAATCGCTCACATGATTGAAGTGACCCTTGTCTAGCCATGTCCTCGTTGACTACCTCTACCTGATTTTTACTGTGATCCGTTTCGTTGTGTCCATCACTGCGTGTCTCGCCAATTTGTCGAAGTAATTCTGTATAAAATATGCATTCCCAACGGAATAATTGCGTGACTCAATGTGTTTGACTTAGAACAATCTCTTTTCTTTTTTTTTTGTAGGCGGTTTATATGCATACCTCGTGCCACTTCATACCAATTATTTAGCGGTGGAATATTTTGCCCGTGCTATAAAGCTTTTACTAGCCCAGATGCTATTTAGAAGCTTTCATTTTAGCTAATGAGGCAGGCTTATGTGAGTAAATGCGCGTTGTTACGACGGTCGATTCACACGCATTGTCTTCGCTTTGGCGCTTCGACGCGCGCCTCCATGACCTTCCATGACCTTCTCGTGACGGTCGTCACGAGAAGAGCGCTAAAGCCTTAGATTCTAGGAAGTGTTGCCGCAATATTCCGCCTATCCGAGGTAGCCGAACGCATGGAACGAACCTTTAAATAGACGCAACTTTCACTACGAAACAATACTTCAGCTTCTTGATTGAACCGCCTTGAAGTGTGCGTTGCACGGCTCGTTCAAGCTCGTCCTGCTCAATTCGTCATGTAGAAATGCGTTTCTATCTCTCTCATGCAATTTCACATGCCGCAAATAGTTACTGCTATAAACTGCTATATAAACGGAGGATCAATCCTTGCATTGATCCTCCGTTTATTCACCGTACGATACCGAATGCCCTTTACTAAAGGTACCCTCTAGCTAAAAGACCTTAGCTGAAAGCACCTTTATGCTGCCGCGTGAATGGGGTATGATAGTTAATCCGGGGTCACACTGTTCATACACCATACAAAAGACAGTGTGCAAACACGAGTAGCAGCAGTATCCGTGGTTCGAACGCCGCGTGCCAAGTGTTCTCCTTGAACTCATTTCCATGCGGCATTCGAAGCACGAATCTCGCGATGACTCGCGTTTAATCCGTATGCCGACTGTCCTTTGTATGATGTATGAGCAGTCTGATTGCGGCTTTAAACAGTGATGCCTGGACAACCCGCGCTCATCATTCGTGCTTGTTTTGATGTTTTTTTGTTTTTTTTTTGTCAAATTTGTATTTGAAGAACAAATATTTGCATATAGCAAGCAGAATAATAAACCACCTCGATTAGGATAGCTGCGACAATTTTGTTGTTTGCATGCCATATGGTTAATAAATATAGCTATATTAAAATTAACTGAGCTTAGAGGCGGACAGATGGAAAGTTGGGAACACCCTTCACGAGTTCAGCTGAATTTTCGTTTAAGCAGGGTGCGCGGTCTTAGAGAAACTATTCGATATTTCGATTCGAAAATATTCGGCCAAAACCACTATTCGCTACGAATTGGCTTCGAGCTCAAAATTCACTTTTCGCACATGACTTGTTTTGTGCATTTGCAGTATGGCTCTATTTGGGATAAACCAAACACCGCGCCTGCGGCCCCAACCCAGTGACCCAGTATTTTTCGCCTGGGAGTGAAATGCGGTGGGGAAAGCAACCTACAATAATTTCTTGCTCGAATTTTTCGAAGTTTGCGTTATCTTGTACGACACTTCCTAGCGCATGACAGTGATGAAATTCGGGTCACCTAAGTCCGTGTAGTGAAATGTGACGTTAAATCGCTATAGCCCAAAGCGGCTCCCGGGTTGGGCACGAGTACTGGATCGGCCACCACTGGGGTGCATCAACGTGGCGGGGGATATTTGGTTCGCAATCGTTGTCAGATAGTGCGGGGAAAAAATAAAAGAGCCGAACTGTGAGAATACCAGCACATTTGCAGGCGCACTGAGCATTTCGAACCCAGTAGGGGACCGGCTCCGATGAATAACGACACACGACACCGCGCCAGAACTTGCCACCCTGCTTCATTTTCCCCGAGTTGCTTTGCAGACAATTAGCGCATCAAGAAACCAATCCGTGCCCACAGATTAATTCTAAACCAATATGTAGCAAACGTAAAAAATAAAAAAAAAAAATAAAAGATAACATAAATTATCTCGTTTCCTGCGAAGGAATTGTTAATGAATTTCTCGTTTCATGGTCCCGAGGGAAACGTTTAGAGTACGAGCTCTAAGCGTTGGAACTTTCTTTCACTGAACGATCTATCAGACAAGTTCAGTACGCTTTTGAAAGGCGCTGCTCACGCACGCCCGTTGCCTTTGCTCAAATACAAGCCAAAGCAGAGAGCAGTTCTGCACTTTACCGCAGCGTGCATGCGGCTAATACTCGAGGGCATCTGCAGTGCTAATTAATACACTTGCGTTCGTAAACCCTAAACACCAATTAATGCAAAACATGCGGACCCTCGATATGATCCTCACGTTCCACATGACGTTAAACCAAAATTTAGCAATATTGCATTCGTATTTAGACGAAAAGGGCGAACACGGTAGGCCAATGGATGGCGCCTAAAAAGTGGAATCAGCTTTTTTTTCTCTTTCATACATTTTTTTCTTTTTTGTAAAATTCTGGTAAAGGTATTTTGCATAGAGCCCTTACCGAGCAATTTTGTTTCGTCAGCTGTCTCGTTGTTGTGCTCCATAAGATGTCCGAAAGCCTGCATCATCTCCAGACCGTCCAGCTTGTCGTTGTCGTCGTAGTCGTGCATCCTACACAGAGATGGCGCCACGGTCCTGCTTTTGAAAAACGCCTCTCTCACGTCGTCTGCTAGATTCGCCGGGTTTTTGTAAGGGTACATTTCATAAATGAACGAATTGCTCCTGGGTTTTTAACCATAACCAGGCATACTTAGGTGTGTGCTAATTCGGGGATGACTCCACCCGGGGGCTCTTAGGTACACTTACAAAGAAATCTGACCTTTGTATGGTTGCAGTTGCGTTGTTATCATTCTCCCCCCTCCCCCTACCAAAAAAAAAAAGCGCTTTTGTATTTTTTTTATGAATTGTGTTAATTGGGTTCTTTTGTCTATGCTGGACCATATGATTACAAAAACACAAAAATGATTATTCCTCAAACATAATGGCGACTCCCAATTGCTTTGCTTTGCCTCAATTACAGCACCTAGTGCATCACACACAACCCGTCACATCGAGGCTGCAATCGTGTGTTGGTCTTAATTTGAGAGTACGGCGCACTTTTTAATACCTACGCGAAGAAAAATCACAGAATGGCATCGACATCAGGACGTATAGTATAATGAGCAGTAAATTTAGGCGCTTCAGGGAGCAAGAGGAGAATCGAGTACACCGGTGTATTTTAGCGGTCGCTTAAACCTTACGAAATTTTAAGGCGCTTCTGTTTTATTTTAAAATGATGAGGTAACGAAATTTGGCTATTGTACCAAATCGCACACCCTGAAACTCAAAGTATGTGCCCGAAATATGCCGTGACGACCGCGGTGAATCAAAATGGAGGTGATCTTTGTGCGATATTAGTTAAATCACAGCGATGTCAAAGATGTACGCAAATGTTATCAAGCAAATGCGGTTGTACAAACTGGCTTTCGACGTAAACGTTTTCTGTGTTTTCTGCTTTCAGTGACACGTGGCGCCACCCCTCGACAGGGGAACTAAACATCAAGGTCTGCCGTTCGCGTTCAACGCTCGTATTTGTCGTGGTTTTGTTCCGTCTTATCGCTGATATGCAGAGACGCCTCAAAAGTGAACCTGGTATAACCGACCTCTAGAGTCGAAACTTTGAGCTTGCTATCCGCCTGCGCCCATTATTCTAGCTCCCTTCCCGATGCGTCGGAATGTACACGCAACCCCTAATATGCCTATATTCAATGAAGGCATTCAGAGTCCATCGATACCTTTTGAAAGGGTTAGGGAATTCGAGGTATAAAAGCTTTTGGAAAGCGCTTCTCTTGCGACATTGCAAACCATAGCTCGTCACTAAATTTACTTGTCGCATGGAGCATAAAGGCTGATTCAGACATTTGCGCTGAGTGCTCTGCGTGGCGTGGCGTTGCGTTGCGTTGCATTCCATTACGACCCATTAGAGAGTTTTAGGGAACCTTCTTTACGCACCCGATGCGGTACGATGAGCACCCCGGTACGAACTGCGCATACGCTAAAACAGAAGACTAGCATATGCGCAGTGCGTACCGGAGGACCCATCATAAAGTATCGGACATGCTAAAACGGTTCCCTAAAACTCTATCACCCGGTACTCGGTTCCCATGGCGACGCCTAGTAGCCTCTCGTTATAAGCACACGTGAGCGGTCAAGACACAGCCGGTCGTGGTCGAAACGCAGATATCTGAAGCAGTCTTTATATGTCCACTCAATTCACAGTTTGATTTAAAAGCGAATTATTCGTCCATAACATCACAGACCTCATAAAATAGAAGGTGGTTTCTTCGGTCTCCAGCTCTCCCAGCTGGGCTAAATGGAGCACCCGGGAGAGGTCTCTCCTGATGTGACTGAAAACAGAGCCGCAAGATGCTATCATTATATCACCAAAGTATCACGTTCCTTCTTTTAGGGGATTAGCGTCGATATTAATAGGGAGTTTTGTAGATCGCGTTTCCCCCTCCGCTAAGCCCTCCGCAACGAAGAAGCCGCTACTGCACCTGCGGGCCGATAGCCTTGACTCTAGAGTTGCGGGTATCGTAGCGGGTTGGGGGGGGGGGGGGGGGGGGGGGGAAGTGGGTGGGGGGTGGAAAGAGTTGCGGGACGGCGAAAACGATCTACGAAAACTCCCTAATAACGGCCTAATTATGAAGTGGCACCGACTTGCCCGTCCGTTGGGTGCTGTGCATGACTACATTACAAACAAAAAACAATTGCCTGCGTTTTCTTGAAATTTGACATCGTGTATTGTGTGGCGTCAGCCCTAGTCGCTCGTTCGGTATACGCTCCTACATGGGAGTTTTCGTAGGTCCTTTTCTCCGTCCCGCAACGCTTTCCGCAACCCGCTGCGATACCCGCAACTCCACAGTCAAGGCCATCGGCGCGCAGGCGCAGTAGCGGCTTCTTCGCAGCGTTGGAACTAACGCGTTACAACTAACGACGTTACTGATAACATGTTAGTTTCATAACTAACGTACTTACTAGAATCCCAGATGACTGAAGAGTAAAGTAATGTAGTTATAATTTTACGGTATCTCCAATCAAATTACGTTACTCGTTACTCTTGACTTTTGATTAAAAATGGCCGGATGAATGTTTGAAAACAAGATAATTTTTCTTTTGTATACTACCTAAAAGTGGCTGAGAAACGCCAACAAAGCTATGTATAAGCTGCGTCATTTCAAACTCCTTCGGAAGACACTTTTAACGTTCCCACGGCCGCGCCCAAAAGGCCCGAGATTATCGCTGAGCGCAAAGTGTCCTTGGTGCAGTCTTTTTGTACGCGGAGCGCAAGTTCGTCTGCTTCTTGCACAGCGGTTGGGATGATGTCAGAACGCCGAGCTCCGATTGGCTCCGATTAAAGGATAGTGGGTAGACCTCGAGGCATCTAGCATTGAGGTCCACCCACAATCCTTTTAATCATGGGCGTGCCAAAAGGGGGGGGGAGGGGGGGGGAGGCTCCCCTCCACCAGTTCTCAAAGTGTGTGGGGGGGCAAGGCATGTGTTTCGCCCCCCTTGCAGCAGCCGTCCCTGGCCAGGGCAAACACTGGCCGGCGGCGCCCAGGGATACCAAGGGCCCCGGCCCTTGGGGGAGGGGGTTGGTTTCCTTCTTTAGTCAAAAACAAGTTGGTACGCCACTGCTTTCAATCAAAGCCAATCAGAGCATGGCGTCGTTCTGACGTTACCGCAAGCCAGGAAGCAGAAGACTTGCTCTCCACATAGAAGCTGCTAAGATCACCGTCGCCGTACCCTGAGCGGCCGTATCGCTGGAAATAGACATCCGTTCAGAAGGCAGCAGTCCGCCGACGCTCAAAGGATTTTTCCTCAGCGTCCCAGCTACCCCAGCTGGTGACATCCCTCTAGTGAAAAAACCATTTGTATGAGAAATTTCTTTTGTCCAATAAACACATATGAATCATACAAGATATATAGGAACATATAAGAACTATATAATATATATAAGAAAAAGGGTTCTCCCACTGCCGCCCACCACTCCGACTGGCCGCCCACCGCTCTGACTGACCACCCACCGCTCCAACTTACCGCCCGCCGCTCAATTTTTTTTTTTTTTTTTTTTTTTTTTTTAGTGCCGCGGGTTGACGATGCGATTTTGCTTGCGCACATGGCTGCAGACCGTCGCCATCGTGCTCAGCAGGTCCGCGCACCGCCCCGTTATCGTTCGCTATTGCATCGCTGACTGCCGCCACTGCCACACTGCTTCAAACAAAGAGCGCGGGCGCTCATCGTGTTTCTTTTTCGTTATTTTTTTTCTCTTCCTCTATCTCAGCGGCGCATCGCCGGCAGTGCCCAGAAAAGGGGGGGGGGGGGGGGGGGGGTTCAATAAACAAATGCAACAACCCCCCCCCCCCCCAAAAAAAAAAAAAAAAAAACGAGCGCCCCCCCCTCCCCTTCCCCCCCTTACCTTTTCGGGTAATGTCCACCCCTTAGAAATTCCTGGTGAGAACCCTGATAAGAACATATAAGATCCATATAAGAAACTTCACACACGTTTTTTATATGGCTCCTTATATGTTCCTATATATCTTATATATTTCTCATATAGTTCTTATATGGGTCTTATGTGGTTATTATATGTTCTTATATATCCGGTATGACTCACATGTGTTTATTCGACACAAAAATTTCTCATACAAATGAAAATTTTCAACACAAATAAGTTATCGTCCTGTCAAGGTAACAACAGAAAGGATAAACTCTAAGTTTGGAAGCGTTGAGGTCCCCACGCTTTGAACCAAAACAAATGTGTCAGCGGTGGCCGGGTGCTGACGTGTTTGTAATTGGAAATGCGACGTTGGTTTGTGAAGAAACAAGGTGACGTTTATTTTGCTGGATTAACTTTGATTACACAAAGAGGTCTATTTTTCGTTCGTTACGTGGCTTGCACCCGGTCGTTATTTTCAAAGCGGTTTCTTCTTCTAAGGCAGGTGCTATGGTCCCAAGGTTCAATTCTTCTAATCGCGCTCGCGAAGCGTCACGTGTCCGAGGATATACATTGCATATTCTGCCGAGAGTGAATCTTTGAGTAACTTGATCAATGCAATGTGACTTTTTTTGTTAGTATTTTTGGCGTTAGTGAAATTTTCAAAATTTTATTATTGTGTGTTGCTTTGAATTGCTTATTTATAGTGTTGGTTGCTGGCTTGTGGTGTTTGATTGAATTGCCAACGTATAAATGTGGTCTGTCCCCCACTCCTTTGCTGTAATGCTGCGGCGCTGCGAAGTACAAATAAATAAATACTCACTCTGAACAAGTGTACTGTAGCCGAAGCTTATAGAGACGGATTATTATAAACGGCTGTCATATACCAACAGTGAAACGCAAAGTAACGATAAACTAACGTAAACGTAATAACGTCCTTTTGTCATGTCAAGTAACGACACCGGTAGTTCGTTACATTTGCAAAATGATAACGGAGCTCTGTAACGCGTTAGCTCGTTCCCAAGCTAACGAGTAACGCTATTTCGTTACTTATTTTCGGTAACTTGCACAACATTGCATCTCCGTTGCGGAGGGCTTAGCGGAGGGAGAACCGCGGTCTACGAAAATTCCGTAGTGTGGACCGCTTAGAGTGTGGAATTAAACGGTTCAATGTCTTAAGTGGCTCCTATCAGCCGACGACTTGACTCTTTGCTTAACCTCGGTCCGGTCACTGATGATTCGGCAGCGAGCCAGCAGCACATGCCATGCTTTGCGCGATTCGAGTCAGTTGAGCATTGTGCAATCGCTATGCTCGAGTGACCGCCAGTCTCGCTCGTTATTTAGCACTTTGGTCTGCGCCCCTGACGGCGGTGGGTTTACTGAACTCGAGACGCATTTAGGTACTCTGGAGCCCCCGCGAACCAACGCAATGCACCTCCGTTGCTGATGAGACCACCAGCCCGTCATGGCCTCATTTGAAGACACCGAGGCAGATATGACCAAAATTGTTTGGCTCTTCCCCAAGCCGATAAAGTCCAAACAACTTTGAACTTTATAATTTGCCCCTGCTTACGCAGGGGCCTGCTCAAAACCATGTTTCAGGGATAAACCAAATTTGCCCACCCTTTTTGGCTTCTCGCTTACATATATTTTACAATGTTTACGCAACTCCTACGCGACAGTGAGAAACATCAAGCTAAGAGCTTTAGAAAAAGTACAAAGGTGGGGGTTGGAGCCTCGCCCGAAAAGAGCACTAGTTGTTTGTTAGATACTATCCATAGCAACCACACGCAAAAACCATCATTCTCCGGGGACCCGCGGACTTTCCACCTCTCTGGAAACCACGTACAATGAATAAGAAAACGCACAAAAAACACCCGTCTGCGCTTTGGACATCGAACGTGACAGCCAATATAATTTTGTTTGCACTCCGCCGAATCGCCCTTCCCCCACTCATACCTTACCGAAAATGGTTGCGGGGCTCACTTACAGCTTTATTCCATTCTTTATGAAGGTCAAGATTAGGGCTTTATCAGGTCAAGGTCAAAATACAGTTAGCGTGCTTTTAGTCTACATTAGAGACGCGAACGCATACTCCATCTCACAAACCTGCGTAGTGCTGACAAAGAGAGAGGCGCGTGTTCGTGACTCGGAAATGTGACTTCTGCGCGCGAGTTCTCGTTCACACAAAGCCTTCGGCTGAGGGCGGCTCACGAGCAAGTTCCTTTGTCAGTACTGCAAAGGTGTGTGTGTGAGGGGAGTGGGGAGGGGGGGGGGGGGAGTGTCGGTCGGTCGATGGGTGTGTGTGTTCGTGGGGAGGGGTAGGTGAGTGGGTGATCGAGTGCAAGCCACTTGTTCATGATGTCGCGCTATAGCAGCACGCGTGAGGATCCCGGTCGCTTTTTGGATTTGCGGTGAATAATCACTGTGGTTCGGCAGGCCTCAAAGACATCCGTCATTCTGCACGAAGTTGATATTTTACTAAATAACGTTATTAAATATATTAGTCAATATTCCAAAAGATTGGAAAGTCAAATTGAGCTGAATTCGAAATGAAAAATTAAAACTAACTTTACGTCCTCGCGCACGCACGGTGGCATGTTTATCACGCAAAAGCATGACAGCGGCATTTTGCACGCTGGGCGGTGATATTGTGAACACTGCAACGGGTTATACAACTTACCAATATTTGCAAATCCGCAGGCCGGCACGCGCGTGTTGGTGCACCTTCGGAAAGGGAGCAAAGCACGCACCAAACGCAGGAACTCTGAACGTGGCACTAGAGGCACTGAATGTTCCCAGAGTAACGAAACCACCAGGTCAATCCGCGTTTCTCTATGGGAGCGCGCGGGCCAAGGAATATCACGTGAACGGCTTGGAGGGACTGAGTGTTCTGCTAGGCGCCGCCCTAGCTCAACTCCAAAAGTGCGGCGGCCGCTATGGAAGGCAATGGGAAGGTGTGAAAATAGCGTTGGTTTCAGATGATTTCTGTCGCATTTAATAGGCAGACGCTAATGCTAGCATATGCTCTGAATAGAATAAGTTAAAATGGGTCACTATGTTATAGTTTTCTCGAGCAGAATAGATAGTATTGTGAGCTAAGCATCAGTAGGGTGTACAAGGATGGTGCATCCAGTCCGCCTGCTGGAGCCCACTCCGTGATCGGAATAAAAAATTGAGTTAGATGCTCTGCAGTTGGGCCGTGACGCTCTTGGTGAATGTTCGAAGTGAGGCACTGTTGATTGGTAGGGAGCTAGTGACTGGCGGGAGAGGGGGGGGGGGGGGTACCTTTAAAGTTCCACTTTACTGAGTGCGAAGGAGTTCTAGTGACGAAGCGAACGGATTAAAAGGGGCTGCACTCCACCAGCGCGAGTACGCCGCAGGGAGGAGGCAAAAGGAAGCGAGGAGTCCGGTAGCAAAAAAGTGAGAAGGAGCCGCGTGGTCGCTACTTGACGTCGATGTTGAAGCGGGTCCCTGCCGACTGAACGGAGGAGGTGCACTGCTCGATATAGGATGGTGTTCGGAGGCCAAGTTGATGCCTCATAACAAGGTAGGAAGCGCGACGTTGCACCGACTCGAGGGAGGCAACAAGTTGCCTAACTGCCGAATCCCACACCGAGCAGCAAACCTCCAAGATGGGCAACACCAGTGCTGTGAACAACAATCTGGGCACATCGGGACTAGCTCTTCTGGTGGACCGAATGACGAAGCCAAGGAGTCACCTTTCCCCGGGACACTGCGTTTTGGACATAGCGATGGAAATCGAAATGCTGGTCAGTGATGACATCTAGGAGGTGGATATTCGTTGTTCTTGGAATCTCCACTCGGTTCAGTAAAGTGTTGGAGGGGTCGAAGGTTGGTGCGAGGCAGTGATCTGCATGGTAGCGCATTTGGTTTAGTTTAGGGGAAGTTTGTTACCGTTTGACCAGAGAAGAATGCGATCTAAATCAGTTTGTAGCCCTTTACCGAACGTACAATCGCAATAACGATGCGAAAAGTTTTAAAAATACAGGCGATTATCCTCAAAACGTCGCCGGTAGTGGAGCGGACATACACAGATACGCGCGCGAAAGCGTCTGCTAGTGTGGTGAGCTACAGAGCCAAAAAACGCGGTGGCGATTCAGCGAACTAGAGAAAGTGCTAAACAAGTAAAAGCAAATGCGGCGCGCTCGCGCTGCCTCGGGTGACCTGGTCGCCTTCTAATAAAGCCGGTCGTGACCGAAACTATCAAACTTCGCTTCAGAACTGAGTCGCGGCGCAGCAGTCGCGCTCCAATTGATCCCCAATATGGCGCTGCACTGTGCGGTCGAAACAAAGCGCGTACAGTGCAGCGTTCGTTCTCGTGCGAGCTCTTCAATCCACTTTCTTTGTCTGTGGCGACACTCGTTTGTCTTCAATAAATTTCTTTCCTTCTTTCTGCGCGGTGCGTGACTTACACCTCGTAGTCTCGCCTCCCTTTTTAGCCTCGAAACATATCGAAGTTGAATGTTAGGCTTACCGTCTGAGGCGTAGAGTTTGAAACACGGCACCAGCGCAACCGGAGCGAGCAAACGAGCCGGCAACCCTCTTTCTGCGAACCAGATAGCGGCTACTTTATATACAAAATGTTAGAGAAAAGTCAACGCACATTCCGTTCGGTCCGTACAAGCCAACGTTACTAGAACCACTCAGTTTGGAAACTGCCATAGAGACTGCTCTGAAAAACTGGCCCCAATCTGTCCACCAGAACCGAGCTAATGGCGAACACAACGCCGCCATTTCTCCCGGAGCGGCCACTCGACGAACTGCACTTTACTTCTATTTTTGCTTCAATCGGTCATTTTAGCGCCGAAACAGATACAGCGGAAGAGGTTACAGGTGTGCCACCGCCGTCTCCCCAGCGGCCGCGCCGCGAATTACTACCGAAGTTAAAATGCACCTAGGTCGGGACGCGCTACCTCAAAGGACCGCTGAGGCAAGGTTGTATAAAAACAATAGTAATTGTTCCGCAAAAGCTTGCAAACTAAAGATTATAAAAACACGCGCCCTTCATTTTGTACTAAACTCCAAAAAACACCCTTATAAAAAGAGTCTTTTCCGTTTGTTTTTACGCAGAAACATGCTTTCTAAAAGCTCAAGGTGACCACAGTACAGACAACTGATAAAGAGTGGCGCTGTTGACGTATTTAGCTCGGTCTCGGTGGACGCCAGCGGCCCAGGTTTCGACGGCGAGTTTCCCAACTGAGTGTTCTAACGTTGGTACAAGCCGTACCCGTGGTAAAGCGGAAACGTTTTATTTCCGTACTTTCTTGTTGTTGTTGTTTTGGGCCCATCTCCAAATTGACGACTGATAACTTCCGCCATGGGCTAAACCAACCAATCAAAACTGGATTCTGCAAGGATTCACTTACGGTAAGCGGACTGAATGGAATTCTGTACTCTGGGAACACTCAGTGACTCTATAGGGGGCGTACCTGCCAGAAACTCTTTTTCGGAACGGCCTATACTTGGGGACAAGTTTCTGTAATCCTTCCAAAGAAACGACGCGCGCGCCGCGTGCACAGCCGTGAAATCCCTGCACAATGGCGGACTTAAACCTCAACGTCACGGCACACTGGAAAAAAAAACAGCAAAAAAAAAATGTGATGAGCGCAGTGACGCTGCACTTTCGACGCTGTTTGAATGGTTCGTCGGCTCGTTGTGTTGGCCGCGCTTCTTCGACGTTCGCTATCGTACGGAATGACTTGCACGTTCCTCAGCGCAGTTGTTCCGCCATTGTGCAGGGGTTCCGACCTACTAATAATCGGCACGTGATTTTCGAAAGGGGTCTATCCCATTTACAAGCCTGCGCCTTTCCTCCCCACAAACGAAACCGCCGGTGAACCCTCGTAGCGACACCCATCTCGCGTCAGCATCACCGCCAGCAAGTTTTGCAGTGTCTCACATCGAGCGAAAGCGTCTGCCACTTTGCGGCGACTCTCGGCCAACTTCAGCGTGTTTGCTGCTTGGGGCGGACTCATCAATGACGACATAAAGTGCAGTTCTCGTCTTATATAATGAGTGCACGCGCATGCGCACCTTTTACTGCGCCGCTAGGGAACATTTTCGAACAGAGTGATACGCAGTTATCCAGCTCCGACTTACTCGGTGTCCCGAACAATCTCTGCGGCGCTGTACTTGCTCCTCAGGTCTGCCAAATCTGCCGACAGCTGTTCGTCTTGGAGCGACCGAACACCATCGGCGAGTGCGAGCCACGTGATTAGCATCGTAGCGCAGGCCAGCAGCGTTGTAAGCGAGCGTTGCCGCCAAAGCATTTCTTCGTGCTGTTCGGTCGTTGTCTTCTCACGTTTACTGAGCCGGTTTGCCTGCACGAAAAATTCGCCTTTACGAACGTCTAAGATATACGTGTAAACTCCATAGATATATAATGGACCTTTTCCGAGAAGCGTTCTGCGCACGCGCGAGCGCCCGATGCCAAGCGGCGGAAGTCGGCACGAAAAATCGAGGAAATTCAAAAAGAGGCTGTGGATCAGCGAGTAGAACACGTAATTTCAGCATATATATAATTGTGCTGCACAAAAAGAAAGTGGACGGAAAGAAAAACACGACGCTTAGGTGGACACCACGGATGCCCCTTCTTAAACTCGCGTTGGGCACGCGCCGCAGCTCGGAGAGCGAAGAAACTGGTAGCGTACACTCCCATTATCGATTGGTAGCGCAGGTAGGTCACTTCCTCGATTTTTAGTTCGTGCAGCCACCGCCTGGTGCCGTCGGTGTGTGGAAAAGGTCCATTCGATGCACACCAACCGAGCGGCGCCGACGGTGCATCGACACTCAGTTCGTCGCCTTTGTGCGTTTTATATATATGACCGACTAAACCAATCGCGCACTGTGACTACCCGCGGCGATCGTGCGCTTTTTTTTTCTTTTCTGCGCTTGGTTGGTGTAGCCGGCGATGGCATACGCACAAACACGATGAGTGCCATGACGATGCGCTTTTGCCGCTGCTCATTGATTGGCTCCGTCGGAACGTCCGCTGCGGTCGGACTTTTATAAAGTAAAACGGAGTGGAGACGGCGTAGCTGGGCAGGTACATAGACATTTGTATAGCAGAGCATGTGCACACATATATATATATATATTTTTTTTAATTTTCTATAATTACCAGACATATTCGATTTCTTTTCTTTAATAAAAGGAATAGGCGATGCCATCATGCTGTTATCAGACATCTGAGCGAAGTTCTGCGCGTGACAGAATAAAACGTGATAAAACAGACGGGGACCGAAGTCGTGCACCGTCGTCTTTTCTTCTAGGTCTAAAGAAAAACCGTCCCAGTCTCAAAAAAAAAAAAAAAACCGTCCCAGTATCCAGTCTCTCAGTCTCTGAACTCGAACGCCAAACACCGGACGCCGGCGTTCTGCGCTCCAGCGGATTCGACGAGTGCACTAGAGCCAAAGGCCGCTAGCTTTGCGTCTACCCCCTAATCCTTCCAACCATAGCTCGGCGTTCTATAGCGTCTCTGCGCGTTCTCGTCTCCTCCTCCCCCTCGGTTTCTCGGCGTATACGCCTGTTGCACTCGACCAGGGGGCTCGAGCACGTCCACAAGACGCGGCCATGTAATGTTGGCTTCGGAGTCTGCAAGTCGCGACTATAAAAATGTTATGCCTATTGTAATATCTAGAGCGCCGGTTCTTCATAAATGAGAATGACAGTTGCGAATGTCCAAGATGACGAGCACGATTTAAAAGAAAACAAAGCACGCCGAGAGATACCAGCCTGACTCGTGTACCAACAAGCCAAAATACGGGCTGTCGATAACAATGTCGCATTTATGTATAACGGCTAAGGTTATACCTAAAACATTATAAATAATAAAATTTCTTTATTCAGCTTCACTTTTTTGTTATTTGTCATAACATGGGTGATATACAAAAACGAAGTTTTAGAACACTGGGCGCACTGCTATCTCAGCACGAATCTGTTCACGTCCGCAGGCCTGTTGAATTCGGCAAAGGTCCGGCGATGAACAAGACAGTGCACATAAGTCTTGGTAACTTGGAAGTGCTCGAAAATGTCCCCTTTAATAATGTTGGCATCGGCGCGTGTGTCCTCATAAAGAATGGCTCTTTTTTTTCTTTTTTTTTTCTTTAGAAACTGTCACGCAGCAAAAGATGAAACCCGGCTTAACCAACCGTAATCTTGCCGGCTCAAGTCGGGATTCGTGCCTTCTCGCCAACTGTTCACGCGGGGCCTATCTAACGTGTGGAGACGCTTTTGGATACACAGAATGCCCTGCGGGAAGGTGCCTTCGTAGCGGGCTTCCACCTGTGTAGCACATGCTTCATATGCGAGTTCCCATGTTACAGAGCCTCACATTCGTGGCTTTTTTAAGTGCTGCGGTATAATTCCATCAAGTGAAAAATGAACGTGAGGTAAGATTTTACATTTTTTGCGCGGTTGAGGGAATTAGGTAATATTTTAATTTAATACAATACGCAGCTGTTTTAAGAGGCGGAGGGAACTAATGTATTTTCCCCGGCCAAAGTCGCTTATGTGCATTTATTATTTTTAGGACTTTTTTTTTTGTTTGTTTAAAAATAGAAATCGTATGAAGTGTTCTGCAGAAGGCCTGATGCACCGATATTGCGCAAGGTCTGGATTTCACGTTTCTCCCATGATTTATATAAACTCGAGTAAAACGAAATGGTAAACACGCTCCTAAACCTTGAGTTGGCAATATTAACAATAATTTTTCTACTCATTAGTTATACCAAGTGATATTTAAATGCTTCCAAGGTAATTCCGGGTCATCCAAGTCACTTATGTGGCAGCTGGCCCAGTGCAAGTGCAAATAAACTTCCAGTAAGCCACAACCTCAGGAGCGAAGCGGGATTAATCACACCACAAACAACGTCAATAACTAAGCGTCTTCATTCAAATGAATGGTAAAGGTGGTATACGAATACGGGGGGCTGTTTATCAACATGGCGGAACACAGATTACCCGAAGTCCAAAGCCGTTTCTTGGAAGCGCGCTATAGCGCAACAGTCACTTTACGGATAAATCGATCGTACGGATCTTTGAACAGATGCTGGAAGACCTGCCTCAAGGGTCAATTCGGTGCCCTAGACCAAAGATATGTATGGGTCAAGAAAAAAAAAAATAGCACCTACTACGTCGGAATAAATCCACAAGTCGTTGCTCTCTCGAACGACTGTACAGAATCCGAAGCTCTCATGCTGCTCCTGGCAGTGCATTACATAAAAAATAACATTAACTACCCTTCGCCTGTAGACAATTGTTAAAACTTTGCCAACTTTTTCTTTTTGTAAAACACGGACAACAGTTTGAGAGATGCTTCCAGACATGTCGACATTTCGCTCTCATTGAGACGTGCAACAAGAATACGTATTTATGTTTCCGCGCCGTTTCAGTTTCATTCAAATGTACAGTAATTTTCGTTCGGAACTGCTAGACCTACAACGTTATGTGTGTGTGCTTTGTTTTAAGCACGGTGCGTTAAATGGCGTCATGTATTCACTTTGAATTTTGTTTTACTGCTTGCAGAATGCTAGTGTTGTGTAAATAAATTGATGTAGAGTGCGCGTGATTCTGGTTGTAATGCAGCGAAGTCACCAATCTTCAAACAATAGGGTTCCCTATTGTTTGAAGAACGGGGACTTCGCTGCATTTCCATAGGAGTTAAGCCTTTTTCTTTTTTAGAGCGCAGCTCTTAGGAGCCCGTTTCCGGCTTGAGCGGCGTCGCCGTCGCCGTTGGCGTAACCGAAAGGTCACGTGACCCCCCTCCCCCCCCAAGGTCACGTGACCCTCTCATGTCACGTGGCCCCTCAGGTCACGTGACCCCTCCCAAAGAGGACAGGAGTAGGAGGGCGGTGGAGGGGGAGGGAGGAGGAGGAGACGAGGGGAGGAGGTTGAAGGATGAGGGGAGGAGGAGGAGGAGGGGAGGAGTAGTAACAGGCAGGATCACGAGAGGAGGAGGAGGAAGGAGGGGTATACCCTCCCCCAGTACCCATCCCTATTCCTCCTCAAGAGCTGCGCTCTAATTCAGCGTCACAGGGAGTTGTAAACAGCTTTCTTTTTTTTTTACTTTTTCCTGAGGTAAGTTCCCTCTTTGAAAATTTTACCAAACAAATGCACCATATTTGGGCAGCGCTGCACAGAATCGTAGTGCGATAGGTTAAGAAACCGAACTTTGCGGTCGATTTGAAGAGCCTGGCCTCTATTTGGGGGGGGGGGGGGGGGGGGACACCCGGTATATTATGACTATGAGTCAAGTGTTAACAATGAGCTCTGTTAATCTTATTTTTTTAAGAATATACTTTTCATATAAACGAAGTTTATATCTTTTAAAACTCATGGCGACAACGCTGCATGTCTTCCTATCAAATATGACTTCAATCTTACCATTCAAAATGGCGTTAAGGCTGGTTCACACAGACCCGTTTTCTAACGTTACATTACGTTATGTTACGCTACAAAAAGTCACCGGAAAATCTGTGCTTCGTATTAGGCGTAGCTACCAACTCAAGGAGATAGCCTGGCACACGACATTCGAGACACGAATGTTTCGGTGGCTTAGAAGTAACGTAAGAAAACGGTGCAGTGGGAAATGTTGAATCGAGCTCTACTCCTTACGTTACGTTACGACGAGCCTTATGTCTTTGGTTGCCACCTTAACTCGCCGTCCTAGCTCGTCGTCCCCGAAACATTAGCGCTGATTTCCCGTGACTTTTCGTAACGTAACGTAACGTAACGTAACTGTGTAAACCAGCCTTTAAGCTTCCTAACGTAATAGGCGTGTAAATGGCATCATCACAATCAAAAGAAACCAGCAGTCGAGCATTTACCAATGCTCTAAAATTGAAATAACTGTTCATGTGTTTAAAGGAGTACTTTTTTTTTTAAGTGTCCGGCGCAAAAGCAATCTGCGAGATGGTTGAAAGATGACGATCCAACGAAGATAAAAAAGAGCAGAACGAATAAAAAGCAATAAAAGAGCGACCGGAACGCTCGGCGTTACCCTCGTCGTCTTACTGTTGCCATAGATTGTTTTTTTCTTTTTTTTTTTGTGAGTGTTTACAGATATTTATAAATAACTCTTTACGCATAAATATACGCGTAAGGAAATGCGCATTTGTCTAACACATACTATGCGTAGCACGTCTATCGAAAACACCCTCTATTCATAAAATTATGTATAAGGAAACGTGTCATATCCTTACGCTTAGTATATAGGTGGAACACTTTAAGGGTGTAAGGGCGGCGCTGTAGCGTTCTATTATGCACGAGC